TAGATTCCCTGGAGGGCTGATCATTCTGGCCAGGCTTTAATCGCCACTTGGCCCAGTTTGGTGCTGCGTTAGAGTGACAAGTCCATTTCAAGTCCATTTCCATCGAATTAGCGCGTGAAGAGCTGGGTCAGGCGAGGTGCGGCGCAACGGTGGCTAGGAGATGTTAACTACCTCGCATGGTATGCAAGAGGTCGTGGGTTCGATTCCGACCCTGACGCCTGCTGCTGTATATTTGGAGGTTGCGTGTCTCTCTCCTCGTGGTCGCGTGCATTTTCCCAGAGCTCCTCCGGTTTTTCCCTCCACCTTTCGAAATCAACATCACGCGTTTCATCAACATCACGCGTCTCGAGTATTTGGCTTGCTATAAATGTCCACGTGACGATAGGCCACTTCGTTGAGCTATCATTTGTGATGGCCAGGTCGCTACACAGCTCGGCGCGGGGGGGGAGGAGGTAGGGGCTGGTAGAATGCTAAAAAAATATAACGTAATTAAGTAGAACGAGGAGCCGAGTGGTCACAAAGAAGTTAAGTTGAAACCCGCAGTGTGAGACTGTCGCTGACGGCCCACTGCATTCGACCGCGCCGGGTGATTGCAATATTGTCCCACCCCCCCCCCCGTTTTGATTTCACTTAAACAAAACATACTTCTCCTCTGATTGAGCATCACAAAAGGTTTGAAGTACGAACTCGAAATATCACACTCGATCACGGACTTTAAAAGCCACAAACGTGGAACTTTTTTTTGATAATCAAAAAGTAATGTACTGCGTACGTGCGTGCGTGCGTGCGCGTGCGCGTGCGTAAGGGAAAGCGGTGGTGGCTGCAGCGATCAGCAACCAACCCGATACGGTAAAATACGATTGTAATTTGATCAGTAGTCGAAGCAGAAATGTCAGGTGAGCGAGAGATGTCCAGCCGAGTGAGAGAGCGGTTGTGACCCTCGGTGGTGGCGATTCACTCGGGCGAGCCTCGCGAATCGCGAGCGCTGGGGGGCTATCGCCGCCAGGCGTAACTGAACCACGTGGAGAGGCACGATACATCTCACCGTTGATCCATTTCAATCACATAGGTCAACGTAGGCAAAGGGATGCGGAAAATAAATAACTGGCGAGGCACACGTTTTAATGATAACAAAAAAATAATATACACGTTGCAAGTTGCTCTTGGAAAGCTGAAACTTTAAGTGTTGTTTAACGTCGTTGTATATATGTGTTGCTCGTCAGAAGAAAAATACTGGAAGTCGCTGGGAGGAGACAGGATGGGGAAACACCGAGCGGAGTGTGGACACCTCGAGACGGGATCTGGATTGAAGTGATGCAACAGAGAGGCAAACGAGAGCAGGATGAAAGCGCATTTTGTAAAACGAAATATGACGGCGAAAATCAACGTAGCAGATGTGCACGAAGACAACCGCACGTTTTGAGCGAGTGCAAAATGATCACCCACTACGAGGTGTTCTACTGCATGGGGGACGAACAGACATTGTTACAAAACAAAGAGAAGCATGACGAGACGCACACTCGCAATTTTGAGCACGTGGATCGGGGGAATAAAACGCGCACATGGAGGCGTCGTCCTCTTGAGAATGTTAAACAAGGTGGTGGTGGGGAGATTGGGCAGAACACGCACGTGGAAGGGACGATGGCCGAATGAAAGAGACTGGGGATGGAGATGAATTGCACCCGGGATGACGAAGCAATGAGATCGGTTCCCGGGGCAAGAGCGAGATGGATTGTGGCATCGCAGGGCCTGCGAGGGATGGCGTCAGGGGGGGGGGAGGCCTCATCCAGCAGTGGATAGACAACGGCTGATGCTGATGATTGAATGGTTCGGAATTACCAGCAGCACCAATTGACAAATACAATTATATCAACGTTTTGCTTCTTCTTCTTCTTCACGTGCCGATGGGGTACAGCACCAGTCCCCCCCCCCCCCCGCCCGCCGACACCCCCCCCACACCGCTCTCAACAGCATGGCTATCATCAGAATAAAATTTAACCCATACGAAAAATAAAACGCACGCACGCTAAAGTACACAAATTGTGTAGACGCTTGCGTTCAACGGAGCTCTCGGCAAGCAATAAAGTGTCTCGAGCCGCGCGGCGTCGGAACGGGCGACGCCTTGAAATTGACTTTGAGTGGCACAGGCAACACAACTTCCTCGAGCGCGTGACGGCGGTCGGGTGGTGGCCGCCGACGTCGTCCGTTGTGGCGACAAACGAAGCCGGTCGCGCCGTGCCGCCGACAAATCGACTTTGGCACCGACGGTGCGCGGAGGCGGGAGTGGGTTTGTGAGTTGAGCTGCCTTCGTCTGTCTCGAGGCGTTCTCCAAGTCAAACTCGACCCCCACCTTGTCTACAGCACACTTGCGTCGAGGGGGGCAGGGGGGGGTGGGAGGCGTGCTGCTGGAGGGGGCTTAGCCCCCCCCTCTCCTATTGAAGGCTCAGCCCCCCCCTTTTTCGATTCTCCCTGCAGAAGTACACTGTTTTCTAGAGGCTGCTTCTCCTCGTGAGAAGACCAAACCACTGCACTTCCCACTTACTGCTGGTGCTAAGGAGGAGGCTGTCGTTTCCAAGCTATTTAAGAGTTAATCGTCGGCCGTGACACAGCCATTGGATTTCCTTTCCAGATTTCCAATTTCTCCCCATGGTCAAGGCGAAAATAAATAAATAAATGCCCGCACAAGATCGAACGAACACGCTACTCGATCTCGTTCATCTACTTTAAGTTTTGCTTAAAGTATGTTTAACGTTGACTGAGTCGTGCCCCCCACTACCACCACCACCACAACCACCACCTCATCTGTATCATCACGACTGCCCCCCACCCCCCAGCACGCGCCTCCCACGCCCATTTTAAACAAGGTCACGCTACGAGGCTGATGGCTTAAGCGCCACAGACCTACAACCACCAACTTGCTTTGGCACCACCGAAACCAATACCCGCGCCATTCGCCACTAAGTGACGGTGACGTCACCACGGCGCCCGTGCCAGGCCAGGTGCACATTGAGGCCATCACGTGAAGTGTCGAAGGCTCGCTGCTGACGGGAGGAGGTCTCGGGACAGACCCAGCAGGTGCCACGAGTTGGCCGACTGAGATGACCGGTATAGATGCACCACCAGCTGCGCCCCCTGCTGTGCCAACTTGCTGCATTTTAACCGCCCGGCGCTCCGCTCGTTGTTGTGAGCGTCGCTCCTCTGCCCTCCTCCGTCGCTGGAGGGCGACTGCCTCCGATTGCCCAGCAGCAGCAGCAGCGTCCTTCACGAGCCTCCCCTTCCTCTGCCCACCGGCAACCGCCGCCAGGGGACGCGGCGAAACGTTTAACAAGCGGCAGCTTTTAACGACAAGCGGCGTCTCGGAACAGAGCAACGAAATAATTCGTGGGTGGATTTCGTTGACGGAGCCGCTCTCGTAGGGGGCCGTCCATAAATGACGTCACGCGATTTTGGCCGATTTTTGACCCCCCTCCCCTCCCTCGTCACGCGGCGTCACGAAAAGTCAGATCCCCCCTCAATATGACGTCACAAAGCTCTGCCCACCCTCCCCAAAACCATATTTCCAATTTGAAAATAAAACATGCTTCAAATCACTTTAAACTATTGTCATTGTAGTTCGTATTTGATGTGGCGCTGCACTCTGATGTTGTAGGAGAAAAGATGTATTAAAAAGGAGGCGTTGGAAATCTGAAATTTTGCATAAAATTCACTTGAAAATATTCAACATGCAACTAAAACTGCAGATGTTCAGAATATTATATTGAAATTCTCTTATAATTATAAAATATTAAAAGTAATTATAACTATAAAAAATACTTGAAACGTTATAGTAGAACGAAGCAAAATGGAGAGTATAATTATAACAATCACATATTCATTTCACATAATGAAAAGCCCTGGTAGAATCATTAAAAAGAAAATGTTTAATAACAATCATTAAAACAATTTACAAAATGTATGCTTCTCCATTCTCCCATGGAGAAGCAAAATGCTCCTTCACGGAATAAATAAAAGGTGACCTCAGTAAATTTAAATAATCAAATAGTTAATAATTAACATTTATTAAAATTAGTGGTTATAACAATTATATTTGATTAATATTATTTATAGTTGCGCATTTTGATGCGACGTCACATTTCTCAAACCCCCCCCTCCCCCCCTCGTCACACATCGTCACAATTGTCTGACCCCCCTCCCCCCCTCGGTGCGTGACGTCATTTATGGACGGCCCCTAGGGGCGCTGGCCAGCTCAGCCCCACGGTGATTTCCTTTTGAAAGCCGTCGCCAACAAATTCAACCCCCCAGCAACGGTGGCTTGGACGACGAAAGTACCCTCCGAGCCACTGTGGGGGTTGCGTCGTGGGACGAGATTTGATTTGGCCTCGGATGGAGGTGGTGGGTGGGGCGGTGGGGGGTGAGAGAAGAAGGGGAAGGCGGGGGGAGGAGGTGGGGGGGGGGGTGAAAAGCGCCCACGTGGAGACTGGAGATCAGAGACGGCTAGTCACCATCACGCACGTGGCCGGTGATTGTGACCCCTTCCGCGGGACGTCAAAGTAGTCGCCGTGAGCTCCCGATTAATAATCATCCGTGGGCGGATTATGCGGGTTACGGGATTAACCGTGCTTGCGTCTGACAAACAAACAAAAAAACAAACGCTAAAACGAAATTTATCAAATAATTACCAAAAATATCTCACACACGCGCGCGCTCTTTTCATGTTTCGGTGCCGCCCGCTCGTGACGGATCCGTGACTCGGCGGCCACGTGACTTCAACTTTCAGGAGTATTAGATAGAAAAAAAGTTAGACTTGCGCACTACATATGCACCCCCATTCTATGTAGGTAATCAACAGTGCTTTTTAAGACCGGAAGCAGGTGGATGGCTTCACTATTCTGGCAAATCGCCCGATGATGCTGGATGTAATTACCAGCGAAACGTCGTACTACTCAAGTTGTCAGTGTTGTGGATGTACTCTCCAACACACCGGTGGGCTGAAATCGTGAACTATTTGGCGTTTTGTTTACGTGACAAATCCCTTACTGATTGGCCGTGTCGGGTGGTGGAGGGTTTCAACACATTTATACTTAACGCGATCTTACCCAAAAACCCTTTATTATGAAGTGCTTTGTTGTCGCCTTACTTTACATGTTTCGCAATATCCGTGTTGTTGGTGGCACCCCTTACCTCCCCCCCCCCCCCCCCCCCCGTTATCACAGCGGTGGCTATGCTGCAACGTGGAGCTGTAATCCGGCACTGTGGAGGCAGGGAGGGTTGGTGGATCACACAAGCGTTGTGTAACTCCCTTGCCAATGTGCGTCGAGGAGCCATTCCCGGGCTCGCCGGGCCAAGGCGGTGCTGTGCAGCAAATGTGAACTCGACGTAAGTGTATATATAGCCGCGGTGTATACGTACAAGTGAGAATAGTTTTGTTTCTACATCTGCGTGGGATAGCGTGTTGCCCCCCTTCCAGGCGTGGGATATTTCCGGGTGCTCCGGTTTCCTCCCACATGTAAACGTTCAATTAAGTGACCGATAATAACACCGTAATATACAGAGGGACCCCGGCTCACCGCCTGGCTGCCTTTCCAACTCGTCCGTGGCGCCCTCACGCATCTTAGTTGTTCTCTCTCTTCGTGAGCGGCCAAATACTGTGCAGCGAAATTATCGTAAGAATACTAATTATTATAATCAAGAGTTTACTGTAGTTGTACCAATGATGGGACTGACGTCGCTGAGGAAGTATTTGTACGAGGTTTTTCTCCCCCCTTCACTTGTTTTCTTACGCTGAGCGATACGTTAATCTACGTCGCCACACCACGCTCAATATTTGTTTGCGATTCACAGCCCATTTGATCACATTAGCATTTGACACTCAACACGCATAGCAGAACACATTGGAGCGTTGTGCATAATTCTTTGCAAAATTCTTGCTTATGCAACACCACACCGTATTGTGCACCACCACCACAGAAAAATACTATCATGCCGATCGGTCTGTTATTCACATTATGCACACACCCACAATCCAAGGTGCTGGTGCAGAAATGGATTCCCACCGAAGACACTTACATCCAGTGGCTCGTCGAGATGGACCAGGTCACAGGGCCATATAGGAGGCGCCTCAGAAATGGCCACGGAAGCTTTCAGAGATGGCCTTCAGAAAAGGCTGAGGTGGCCCTTTCATCGGGCAATTCACTCTGGCCGCCAAAGCACTTTCAGTGGCCCTGCCAGGTCGCTCATGATCACACCCACGACTCCTCGTCCGCTGCCGCCCCCGAGCGCGCCTTGGAGCTACTGCCGGAGCCCCGAGGCCCCGACGGGCTGGCGTCCGGCGGGGAGGGCAGCCTGCGGCCTGCGATGTGCGCCCTCGGCGGAACGCTGTGCTGTGGCGGCCACACGTCCTCCTCGGAGCCCAGCTCCTCCTCGGCCCTCACGTTGGGCGTGAGCAGGCTGCGCACGCGGGAGCCCCTACGCGCCAGCTGTCTTGCCGACGGCGTCCGAGACGTCGTCCTGACGCTCGGGGCCCGACCCGGCTGAGACGCGCCGCCGCCCTGCAGCGGCCGGCTCGCGGGCCGCCCAGAGGAGCGGTTGGAGGGAACGCGGGCAATTTGACCCGGCCTCCTTCCCGTGGCCCGCGTGGACGGAGCGCGGCCCACTTGGGCCGCGGCGTATCGGGGCACGCCGGGCCTCGCTTGCGCCTGGCTAGCGGCCGAGGAAGTGGCTCGCGCCGTCCCACTGGCCACCTTACTTTGAGATCCCACGCAGGCAGGAAGGCCGGCTGCGCTGCCACCGCTGCCGCCCCCATTTTGCAAGTTGAGGGAGCTCCTCAAATTCTGAGGGGGACTCGTGGCATGTTGCGGCTGTGGTGTTGGCAAGCTTCGCGAGCGCAGCTTGTTGGGGGACGACGGAGGATCTGGGCTCCCGGAACTAGGGGCTTCCTTGTCGCCAGCCTCGGCCTGCTTGTAGACGGTGGGGGTGGGTATTTTGGAGGGACGTTGCTCTGGCCTGTGGTCGCGACGAGGACGAATCTTCGGGCGGAGCTTCAGCTTGTAAATGGACGGGACGCGCTCAGGCTTCCGAAGGCTCTTCCTCGGCCGAGAGAGGCCCTGCCGAGCCTGCTGCTGCTGCGTCCTCCTGGATGCCCTCTCTTCTCCGCACGCAATTGGTTCTGCTGCTGCTGCCACCATTGAATTTCGCAAACCCCGTGTTGCTCCATTCACCCCTTCCTTCTGCAATTTATTGTCTGCGACCCGTGGCGTCGCGCTCACCTCGCTGCCGTCAGCCACCTCCGACATCTTGTCTGAATCGCCGCCATGGCTGCTTTCACTTGAGCGCCATTCACCATCGACGGCACCGTCCGAACTGTTGACGGGAGGCGCCTTCGCCAGTTTCGACCTGAGACTGTCTTCAATGACACTAAACCTTTCGCCGAGGATCAGCCTTTTCGTCAACGTGTCACGGTGCCCATTCTTCGACGCTCTATCCACGGTCTCCACCGCGGGCTGCGGGTCAACGGCCCTCACCTCGTCCACAGACTTCGACATTCGCGTGAACGTCCCGTCGCGCCGGAGCGCGCCCAGCACGGGCGCTTTGCTGCCCCAGCCATCCATGTCGACGCGTTTGAGGTGCACGGAGCTCTGCTTCAGCTCGGCCACGACGGCGCCGTAATCCCCCTGGGCCGCCGGCACGCTCACCGAGATCCTCGCCCCTACCGGCTCCATGCCCGAATCGTCCGACACACCGCGCGGTGGGGGGCCGATCGTGCGGGTGCCGCCGACTTCGAGGCTGGCGCCCAGGTGCCTGAGCGCCGGGTGGCTGCTGCTGCCCCCACCACGCGAGGAGGGCGGGCCCACGTGGTGGGGGGAGGCGAACTCGTCGCGCACGCCCTCGGGAGAGGTTTTGTTCGCGCGGTCCCGGGGTTGAGCGCCGTTGGGGAGTCCTCCGTGCTTGGGGTGCATCGTCTCGAGCGAGAGCAAGGAGGAGTAGGCCGAGTCGCCCTTGGCGATGTCGGAGAAGTCGCGATGCGGCGATGCGGCGGGTGTGGAGCCCGACAGAGAAGGGGCGACTCCGCTGTCGTTCATCTCATTGTCGAATCCTCCTCCTTCGGCCGTTGCGTCAAGCTTGTTCTTGAGCATGTTGGCCCGAAACTCCTCCTCCAGACGGCGGTAGAGCTCCTCTTCCTCCTCACGCGGGCGGTCGCCCGGCGGCCTGCACGTGACGTTCGCGTCCTCATCGACGTCATCGTCGTCGTCCTGCTCCATCTCTTTCCCGTGCTCGTCGATGTAAACTAGCTGAGCCGTTGCCTGCGGAGACCAAGCGCCGTCCCTCTGGACAGGGTCGCTTCGCCGGTTGGGATGCGCCCTGTAGCTCACCACATCCAGCCGAGCGTCCAGCGACCTGGAACTCTTGACGCTGTTTGTGCCGGAGACCGCTAGAGAGCGTGCCGGGACCGGTGACCGGGCCCTGTCCATGGAAGGCGCGCAGGGAAGATATTTGTTGATGGCGGCAGCGGCGGTGGGCTGGGTCACAAGCCGCCGGGTGCCGTCCGCAGCCACCCCTCCCTGCCTCGGGCTCGCGCGGGCGGGAGGGCCGTTCGCCCCGGACGCTTCGTCTTCGAGCGGCTCCTCCGATCGCCTCCGACGAGCCGAGGGCGCAACCTCGGCGAGCGTGACGCGCGTCACCGCGTGCCGGCCGTCCTTGCTGCGCCGCACCCGCAGCAGCACCTGCTCGTTATCGGGCCGGGCGCCCGTCAGCGACTCCGCCGAGGAGTACGGTCTGCTGTGTAGAGGAGTCGGCTCCACTTCGCTGCGAGGTCTCGTTGGTCTCAATTTCGCGGTCTGCTGTTGCTGCTCTTGCTGCTCGAGCAGCGACGGGGTTCTCGGGCGTGAGGCCTGCACGCCGACGAACGGGTCGTGGGTCGAAAGGGGCCTCCGCCTCTCCTTGCTCTTACCGCCGAGGTCGTCGTCCCTCATTCTGATGGAGACAGCAAAGAGACGAGTGAGACGAGAATAATTGCACACGCGCACGGTATTCGCTCGCTCTCGAAGAGCGAGAATGGCTCGAAGGCACGGGGAGGAACCACGGGCAAGCGGTAAAGGCAACCACGTGGTGGGTTGACGCCACATCCAGCCTCCGAGCTATGCGGTCCTCGATAAATGAAGGTGTTATTGGCCAATTAATGGAGCCGCCAGGTAATGTCCTCTTGCATACACCACCGGGCAACCCAGTAGCATTGTTTACAAAAAAAGTTTAATCGCTTATAGAAAACGTTGGTCCGGAAGGAGACGTGTTGGACTCATGGACATACATTATTTTGGTGAATGGAACTAATCCAAGTAAATGTACCCATAATACTGTGCACCTCCAATTAGCAAGGTTGACTACATACGGTGTGAAATAAGTTATACATACATATATACATCCTCCAAGACAGTAGGTGGGGATAGAGCGGTGGGGCAGTTGCTAGTTAGTAACACTACGCTCGGAACCCTGGCGACCCGGACATGGCCACGTGTTCCACGGAGCGGTCTCCCCCCTCCCCTTCACCGTACCTCACGGGGGTCCCGGGGCGAGGAACCGTCCCCTCCCTTCCCTGCCCACGGTGCTCAGCGGTCCCGGGGAGAGGGGAGTAGGGCCGGAGGTCGTGGGTCGTCGCAGAGAGGCGAAGCTGCGAGCCCGACCTGGGCCCCAGGCCGGTCTGCTCCGGGCACATGGACGTGGTCACCGACATGGCCGTTTTGGAGAGCTGCGATGAGCCCCCTGCCTTGACCGGCGTCCTGTGAGCTGAGGGTGGGAAATTCGCACGGGAGAGAGAGTGAGGCGTGGTGCGCGCACGAGCGGCGAATTCGGTGCGCTTGCGCAGTCATTCTTCACGCCGTTTCACGCGCACGTGTCGTCCGGGTAAAGTTGCCACCTCTGAGTTACAAGTAAGCAAGGGAATGTCACGGGAAGAATAGGAATATGTCATGGTACCTCCGGAAGAGAGGGGAGAACCGCACGGAAATGTGTCGCCTTGAGTGGTGTATCATTATTACGCAATTGACAAAAAACGGGGGCCGTTAAGGTTCGTGGAAGACTTACGTATTTACTAGCACAGCTTTTTCAAGAAGAGGGCGATTTTTATGGTCAAGTAAAATAAACTCCTTAAAAATAGTTTACAAAAAACGTTTTTATTAACAACTTCGTTTAACCGACGGTCTTTGAGAAGTGCGTCAATGGCGCCTGAGGCACGTGGCGCCTGCTTCTTGTGCCAGCCGATTCCACAGTTTAGGGACCGCGGCGCTTTTGACTTACACAAATATAATAATAAGCCGTCCATACAAACATTTTAATTGCTTCAAAGGAGGCAATTAATTGATTAATTGATGTCGATTTTGATACAGGCATGCATTGTCACCGAATCTGAGTCCGTGTGCAAAATTTGGAATTGATTGGACAGCAGGAAGTAGACTAACTTTTGATTACAAGATTTGACCACGACAAACACAAGTGGAGTTAAATATAAAACCGTTGAAAAAGAACGATGTTAGAATAATTTGTATGGCGGGGGGGGGGGGATAGGATGCCTGACAGAAGAACGTTTGGCTACCGTACGTAGCCAAACGTGCTAATCGGAGGTGCGGGGTGAATGTTTGTTGAACGTGGTTGTGTGTCTACCCCTGAGTTTTTTGCATGGGCCGCCCCCCCCCCATCCTTTAATCGAGGTCAAGCTACAGCGTTGGGGTGCGAGGGGAGGGTTGGTAAGTGGGAGACTCTCACTGGGGGCCAGGCAGCGGCAGGGGTCGTGCTTGTCCAGGTAGTGCTCCAGGGTGTCCCAGCCGCCACCCACGCGCACCATCACGTGCTTCCGCAGGATCTGCCCGCGTGCCACCGACACAGAGCGAGCCGTAGGACCTTTCCATAATCGTCCACTACTTGATGAAGGCCTCCTCAATGCCATATAGTTTGCTGACTTTTTTAAACAATCTAAGGACAGCCCCCCCCACTCCCCCCACACACACACAAAGATCCCCTGTATAGCCTTAACAGACTGTAGGGGCAAGTGCTGTTAGCGAGCACCTATGAAGGCCTGCACGGCACACGAGGGGGTGAGTGGCCAACACCACGCCCGGCCGCCTTTGTCTCTCCAGTGGCGATGTTTACACATTGCACCAGGTACTAATTTCAGGCTGAGTCGACCTAGAGGAGGCCCAGGACCGGTTCAGATAATCGTCATCGGTGTTGGCCGTGAGCGCTATTCGAACCCGGGTCGCCAGGTTCGTAGCGCAGCGTAGTGCTGACCGCTACACCACCGCTCCCCACTAGATACACACACACACAGACACACAGGGTCTCACCCTGACGTAGATGAGGGAGCTGGAGTCTCCGACGCGGTACTTGCCCTCTGACACCCGCACCATGGGGAACTGCACCGGGCACGTGCATCGGCTGAGCAGGAACCGCACCTAGACGGGCACGGAGACACGTGTGGCTCTGAGCGACAAAGCAGACCATGTGTCCGGACTACGTATTTGACCATCATCATCATCACCACCACCACCGCCACCGTCGTCATCATCATCATCGTCGCGTGCTATTTATACCGCACGTCTCATGCAGTGCATGGCAAGGCAATAGAACGGAGTGCTGTTTGAGATATTTACTCGGGAAGGAAGTGGTTTTAGACTCAACGCTTGGCGTCATGGCATCAAAACCTGCCCCTTCTCGTAAGTGCAGTGAAGTAGAACTGAATTATTGCTGTTATTTTGGGGGGGGGGGAGCGGCGGTGGTTAGCGCACGGCACCCTGAACCCAAATGACCCGAGTACGACCCCCCCCCCCGTGCCCTCCCGCCCCCCTTCATCAACCGACGCTGCCCCCCCCCCCCAGCATGGGAATTACAGTCAGTTATCGACAAACAACGATCTGATATCAGACGAAGGGGCCATCCATTTAGTAGGTACGCAAAAATCTGTCAAAACTTGAGCTCTCTCCCTGTACGCACGCGGACTTTTTACACCCCAAACCCCCCACCTGAGTATGTTCGCCTGACCCCCCCCCCCCACCCGAATCCTATAGAACGGCCGATATTTAATCCACGCAGAAACGATCAAGGATTAATAATCTGAACGTGTTTAAGCAAACAGTCCACCGCCGGACTATCTAACTCATTTGAAGGCCAATGTAGACAAATTATTATCGAGGCTTCACCCCGCCTCCGTTTCCTATGCGTACGATCATTGTCAGTAGACCCTCCATTCGCAAGCGTACGCATTTGGGTTAACCCCCCTCCATGCGTACGTACTAAATGGATGGCCCCCTAATGTTCAGATTTACAAATGGGCCAACAACAATGACGATGACGACAAACGGTCACCGCCGCCGTCATCATCACTGTGGTTATTTTGCTTTGCCGTGGCAGCTCGATTTTTTTTTTACTTTGTGAACCGCACGCGCTGGGGGGGCAGGATTATCCCAGTAGCAAAAGTAGCTACTACATATGTACTACATATGTAGTAGTAGCTATGTAGTAGGAGCTACTACTACATATGTAGTAGGAGCTACTACTACATATGTACTACATATGTAGTAGTAGCTATGTAGTAGCTACTACTACATATGTAGTAGTAGCTACTACTACATATATGTAGTTGTAGCTACTACAACTACATATATGTAGTAGTAGCTACGGGCCCCGCACTTTCAAGCGCCCCGCGCTAAACGCTTTCGAGCTATCAGTTCCGGTTCGGTGATTCTGCACTTGCTCTATCACTATAGTACTATACCGCCTTCAACTTTTACGAACGACCGGGTGTTTAAGGTTAGCGATTGGTCGTATTATCCGGCTGTATAGCGAATGAAAAAAATAAAATGACTTTACTATGCAAGTTACAACATTTGTGTGTTTTATTTATTTATTGAGGGCCCCTTTGTAACGTATGTTGCAGGCCCCGCACTCGCTTCATCCGTCACTGCGTGTGTCGGGGGGGGTGGGGTGGGTCCCCTGTGATGACGCCGCGGTGGTAAGTCTCGGTTGTTGCGCTGCTGCCGCAACGGCCTCCTCCCTCTCCGTGTTGACTCTGCGGCCCGGCGGGGGTGGACGGGGGAGGTGGTGGCTGGGTGGGTGGTGCTGCTGCTGCTGTGTACACAGTCCGAGTGGCGGCGTCTCTCGTTGCCAGGTTTCTGGCACGCGCGGTGTCGCGAGCGCCCAGCGTCGCCGCCTGCCGCAACGCCCGAGCTGAATCTTCAATAATCGTCGTGATGAAACGAGATTTTTTTTTTTCTTAAAGGTTAGGGTTGTTTTGCTAGGCACGTTATCATGTTCATTGCATTGTAAGACGAGTTTGGAATGTAACAAAAAAAACGCACCCCAAACCTGTGGCCCGGTTTCCATGAAGTTATAGAAATGTTTTCAAACACACACACACCGCACCTCCGATGAGCACGTCTTATCATCGGCTCCGTATGTTCCTCGAACTTCTTTCGCGCCTTACGTAGCAGATTATAAGACGCACCAATACATTTTGATGTGTAATGCAGGGCAATAAAAAAAGGCGCGTCTCATAATTCGGAGAATGCGGTTATACCGTGCATTGATTGGAATCTCGCGATGCAAGTATTGAAGTTTGCGCGTGAGAACTAATTATTTCCGATGTATGCAAACGGTATGTACATTTTATGCATTTTACATGCGAAGGATAGATTTCAGGCCAACGACGCGGGAACAAGAGAATAAAAAAAAATACAAAGCAACTGTAAAAAAGGAGGTGAAAACATCTATATATTTTAAAAATCGAATCGCCACCAAAATCATTAGATCGGATGGGAGGAGGTGGATCGTTTCACGTCTGATTATTCTTTTTTTGTGCCCGCGAGTCAATTCCGGCTGGCGCTCCGAGCGTCGCGTTGCCACGAGGCATTTTCATTCGTCGTTCTCTCAAGGCAGCAGCGCTACAGCAGCCACACGTTTTAGCGGTCTCACGAAGATGGATTTTTGGAGAGCTGCTTCTGCCTTTCCTTCACTTTACCCAACGCTGTAGGCACCGCTTTTTTATATATATAAGCCCACTCCTATAAACGTGTTGGTACGGCCGTCCATCAAACGCATTCTTTATGTTTCAGCTTGCAGAGCTGGAGTTTGATGTGCAGCCATTGGTTACTAAGCAAGAGGCTGTGAATTCACAATCACGCCGAAGCACTCCGTGTCATTTATCGGTGGCTGCAACTCGGATTTGAAACCCAGAACCTCACGCGTGCTGGTGAGATACCTCGACTTGGCATTAATCAACCCCCTGGGTAAACTCAGGCCACCTCAAATCACCTCCGTGTCCTTTGAACATCATCAACGGCGATTTTAGAATATATATGTATAGCATCGAGATGCGATCGTGTCTTCAAGACACTTAAGAAAATGGAAAAACAACGCAGGTTAGTGCTGTCAGGGTAGGGGGAGGGGATCCGGGTATTGAACCTTTGGAGACCTGAGAGAGAGGACAGGGCGGAGAGAGAGAGAGAGGAGAGCAACAGTGAGGCACAGTCCGAGAAGAATGAACCGGACCCCCTGAATCAACGACGAGCCCCGGGGATAGCCGGGGCAGCCAGGGCAGCACCAATTTGCCCCCAAATAATTTCCATGGTGGGTGGGGGGGTGGCAAGTTTATAGTGACGTCTACAGACCTGAACACTGGCACATACCCAAACATCAACACGTGCGTACAAGCAGCTCTTACATAATGCAGTAGCGTTCATTTCGAGGACTGTGATGGCGCGCCTCAGAGAATGCACGGAATTGATGTTGATTTTCAATTCGGAGTACCCGATCAATCCAATTGAGCCGAGGATGCCAAATGAAGTGGCGTTCACGGTTTTACTCGGTGGGCGCGCACGTTAAAGTGCCGTCTGCCCCTGTTGAGAGTCCCACATAGCATAATTAAGGCAAAGTGCCACCCTGTAACTCGGATTGATAGGAGACGCTGAGCCAACAGCCGTGTCTGTAAGCGGTGTGTAACGAACAGCGCAACGTGCATTTGACAAAATTTAAGGCTTTTTTGTTTTTTCGCGCGCATTCGCCGGGGCTGCTGTCATGGACGGTGGCAGCGCAGGCTTCAAAACATCTGCAGGATCGTTCTGTGAACTCGGTGAGGAGCGCCGCGTGCGCTCACTGTCGAGGACGTCCATCGGCTTGGACCGTTGGGATAAACCGCAGTGAGACCTTGGGGCACTTTTTTTTTTAACGCAAACTCTTGCAAAGCGGACGCCACCGGGACTGTCGAGCGAAAGAGAGTCGCCTGGAAAAAATCGCGACGGCCCATCGACAGCTCTAAACCCTCAAAATCCTTTCCATTCTTTCGTCCCCATTCGTGGTGATTAGCACACCACACATTGCCACAATCGTTGGGCCCCCAAAACCAATCGCGATTGGCACGAGCACCGTTCCATGGAAGTTTTCCACTCTCCCGAAGCAAATGCGGTCCCTTTGCCGAGAGGCTCGCCGACTGGGCTGGCTCTTTTTCCGCTTCACATCCCGTCGACACATCGCTACCCCCTTCGGTGTTTTGGGGACGCGTGTATTTGCGCGATGCGTCACCGCGGCCATAAAAGACTATTCATTAGCGGCAAACGGCCACCAATCACGAGGATTTCGCTATCTGTGTTGCGCCAGACTCCCACCGAACAACCGATCCTCAAACAACATAGGCCGCCTCCAACGCCACGGAAATGGAATCAAGGACCTCAGTGGGCCGGGTCAATCCGTTACATCACAGCGCACCTTGCAAGTGTTTGTTTAGATATATCGCATTGCATTTAATGCAACAGTGCAATTTATGCATCAGGAAAAGCCTCAGCAGATTCTCAAGACACCTTTGCAACGAATGGTAATGAATGTCCAGTGTCCCTTTTTAAGGAGAGATTTTTTTTTGCCTGCAGGGAGTGTAAAACCGAAGCATCTCAAGGGAAAGCCACGCATAATGAGAAGCATGGCACTCAAGAGGTCCGCACGGACAGGTTCAATTGCCCACTTCCTGGACATCCATCCGCTGGCCGCAATGCAGCCCAAGCAGGTTTGGGAGTTTTGTATCGGCTGTTGTGCAATGACGATGGGCCTGATGGTGACATTTTACTTGACATACCGACAAAACCCCACAGGCTCATAAGGCCCCCATATTTTGTGCGCCGTGTTGAAGTAACAGCTGAGCCGACGGTAGCGCGGCCATTCAAAATTGTTTTTGTCTGTGAATTACGATGATTTAATTCATGGCTTTGCCACAGCTGAAGCTCGTGAAAACAATGTTGTCTTAAGACAGGAGTGTAGCGAGTAATTTATGTTTGATGCATTTACCTCCAGTCGAATACATTTGTTAATTTTTACATGGCTAAATTATTTAATGTGTGATGAGTCTGCAATATAGAATATACACACTTAAGCCTTTGCCTCCTATTTAGCGTTAGACCCTTCGTGCTGTGCGAGGTCGGCGAGGAGTGGCTACGCACGTATGTTAAACTTCTTTTGTAACGTACGTTGCCAACATCGGCTGAGTTTGTGGGGAAGAAGGGCGGGGGGGGGGGGGGGGGGGGGGGCGACGCCCCGGCCAAGCTGGACATCTGCATGAATTTATTTTCAGTAGTTTACAATAAGGTTACATTTTTTTAAAATTCATTACACGCACCCACGATTCCTAACGCGAGGAACAAAGTGAACCCCCCTCCACCCCCCCCCCCCCAAATATAGAAGTCAAACTCCGCCTATGGTAGCCAGCCGTGGTAATCGGAGGTGCGGGGGAAGGACAACAAATGAAATAGAGCAGAGGGGTGGGTGAGGGAACGGGGAGGGGGGGGGGTGGCGGGCTGGGGGGGAGTGGCCGGTGGGTGGGGGGGGGGGGCGGCGGTGAAGTTGTTGGGGGTGGAGCGGTGGTGGGGGGTTGGGGCCAGCGGGGCGGGTGGATGGATGGATGGGGGGGGTGTCGGCAGGGTCAGACTGACCATGGCGTCCAGGCTCTTGAGGTCGCACGTCTTGCGCTGGGGCTGCGCGGCGGGCGGCGGCGGCGGCTGGGCCTCGGGCTGCCTCTCGAGGCGGATCTCCTCGTCGATCTCGCGCTCCAGCTGCACCAGCACGGGCGCCAGCATGCCGAAGCGTGCGCCGCGCCGCGCCACCTCGAGCAGGCACAGCACGAAGTGCTTCTCGTTGCGCCGCAGGACCTGGGCCCCGCCGTGAGGAGGAGAGGGGGGGGCGGCGGGGGGGGGGGTTAATTCGGACCGCAGGGTCGAGACGACCTCCCCGAATGATGATTTTTTTTTTTTTTTTTTACAGCGCGTCACGATACGATCCCGGTGGACATGCGAAAACGTCGGGTCGACATTGGCGCGTGGTTGGGAACGTTGGCCCAGCGTTTGCCCAACGTTGGACAAAAGTTGGCACAAAATAAGCCCAAGGGTCCCTGGTTACTGGGATGTAACTTGGTATTAGCCGAACGATGCGATGCTGAAAAGAGTACCCCCCGGCAAAAATGACTCAATTGGGATTACACGTGGCGAGCCGTACTGCGAGCACCTGGCAGGGCTTTAGTTTAGCAAAAAAAATAAGAGGCTTGAGTGAGGCTTTCCTGAGTAAACAAACGGAATAAAAAAACGAATGACCTCGATTTAAAGCTTTCGTGACTGCAAGGATTCATCTTCTTTGGTTCTTTCGGTAAAGTCACGTAGAATGAGAATAAAATAATAAAATAAAACAATAAAATTCTCACGACGTTTCGGCCACAACACAAGTGGCCTTCTTCACCGACAGGTTTGTTCCTTTCACCTGAAGAAGGCCACTTGTGTTGTGGCCGAAACGTCGCGAGAATTTTATTGTTTTATTTTATTATTTTATTCTCATTCTACGCGACTTTCCCGAAAGAACCAAAGTAAAATGAATGACCATCAGCCGGAATGAGTCCATTGCCAGGTGAAGGCCTTCCAAGGTTCGGCAATGCACCGATCGACAATGCACAAGCAAGAATCGTACACGTGTAGAACTTTAGGCTGTGTTGCCGCATATTAAATAAAAAAAACATTTATTTACCCCGTCAGTCGATTGCATTCCAGGCCAACATTATTGTCAACCAGCGTTTTTAGAAGGCAGCAAACTCTTCATACGGTTTTGATCTTCCGGATCTCATCGGCAGTCAGACTTGTCAAACCGACGCCCGCTAGATTAATTGTCAGATGCTATGAGAATGCAAAGGTGTCTTGAAGCAGAATGCAAGGTGGCTGGCATCATCACAGGAGACATTCGGCATAGTTTCCTGATGTCAACCGGCTAAATTTAGGCAGCAGGAGAAATACGGTAGCTGATTAGCAGTGTTGTCCTTGGTGTGAATGATCATGATCCGTGCAATGTAGCCATCATAGCCCACTGTTGTAATTTGTGCCGGATGCGTTTGTGCTGACACTGCGAGGACAAACTCTACACGGCCTAAGGGTAACTTGTAATTATTATTGCCTCTCTTGTCAATCCACTGCTGGATGAAGGAATCTTTTTGTTTGTTCGTTAGCTTGGTGGAAGAGGCAATTCACCAGGATGACGCTGTCCATCACCAACCCGCACCGACCAGCGTGGTGAAGTATGGCCCAATAACTGACGCGCCATTGGCGGGTGGCCTTTGTGCTGTACAGGATTGACGAAGGGCTGGACATTATACAAGTAGGAGCTGGATATTAGCACACCTTTGATAACACACAGTGCTGTTTTTAAAAACAACACCGCTTCCATACATTACATTGGTGGGGTGGGCGGGGGGAGGCAAAGGGCAATTTCTGATACAAGCAAACCGAGTAAATGCATAAGGCCCCAAGTAGCTCAAGCGGCTCCTGGGTTCACGTTTAGCAATCGGGAATCATCAGACATTAGACAGTCAACATAACAAGTTATTTAATTTAGAAATCCAACTAATCTCGCTCAGCTTTGTCTTGTCAGCATCTTTCGTTTCTCAGCTGAGCTATCATTTGTGGCCAGGCCGCTTCTGAAATAAAAAAAAATAGCTGTACAGCTCAGCGAGCCATACCTGGTAAAATAAAAAAAAATGTGTTTATAGTTTTAGTTTAATACATTGAAACTGACGGTTTGGAAAAAAAACACAAAACAACCAAACTTCTGCGCAGGGCGCTACCCCCCCGCCCCCCCCCCCCTGCTCCTTTTCCGAACATCTCTGAGAGTGGGACGCGACCGTGGCCTCGTCGTCACCAAACGCACCAGGTCGTTGCTCTCGAACATGACGGACTCGTTGACGCCCAGACGGTGGCGGCACCAGTCGATGAAGTTGGAGACGTTGTCCCTGGCCTGGAAGGAGCGGGTCTTCACGTCCCGCGACGCGAACGCCAGGTCCCCCTGGGGCAGCTGCGGTGGTGGCGGGCGGGCGGCATAGGTAAAGGCGCAGGTCTGGTGGTGTATGCGTGCATGCGCGTGTGTCCGCGTGTGTGTTAAACTTGGTTTTGCACAGTATGTAGCCAACCGTGCCGGGGGTGGGGTGGGGGGGGGAGACAACAAACTAAAACACACACACACACACAAAGAGTGACTTGCTCGTTCCACAGCTGATGGAAAATAACACAATCCGCCCCCCGGAGTGAGCTGTGTGGAGAGACTGCCTCTGTAAAACGTCGAATAAGAGCGAACGCGCGTCTTGGGCTGAGCGCGGTTGCATCGGGACTTGCGAGAAGAGACTCGCGGAGGAATATTCCACTTACGAAATCCCGAACGGCGTGACAACACAAACTGAGCACATTCGTCGATAGCACAGCCGCGGCAGGGCGGGGACGTTGGGGATATTGTAGGCGACGTTTCGGGCACAACAACAATAAAGAGGCCAGAAGAGGTAGTGCGACCGTAGACGAGAAGGGGAGATTTCTCCAAGGCCCCGCGTGCTGCAGCGTTAAAGGGGGAACGGCAACTCGAGCGGAGCGGGTGACTGACGGTGGTGGAGCTGCGAAGGAGAACACTTGCGCGGCGTCGTCACGCATCGGATGAATTCACCGGAAACCCCATGGGCCGACGAGGCAGTGAGCCAGATGGCTTGCCGGAAGCGAGAACGCTCCGCGGGGCTCACTGTCGCCGGCGACGCATTACTTGGCGACGCATTGCAGTGCGTTGGCGGTGTTGCGGTCGCGCGTGCAAGCACCAGTGACAAAAACAAATCGACGCATTTCGTCAATGGCTCTGTGTGGACTTTAAAAATAAATAAAAATTCCCGCCTCCCGCCTCCCTCCCCCCAGGTTGCCAGTGGTCTCGGATGTCTCCGGGTTCGCGAGACTTCACGCGTGTTTCCCGCGGGCGATTTCGAGCTCAGCGTTTGGCGGGTGCGTCTTATTGATCGGTGTTTTTGGCGTGCGATCCGGATTCGTGCGACCTTTATTGACATCTTGAAAGAGTTTCCGGAGCGTCTTGTAATAATGATAATGATAATAATGATGATGATAATAATCAGAGGCGGACCGCTGAATGCCAAACCATTCCGCAGCGGCGATCCACCCTCTTTTGAGGAAATCTTAGACCGACGGGGTCCGTCGTAATATCAGACGCATGCTTACTTAATTGTTGGGCATTGTCCCTTTAAATAAAAACTTTTCATTATTATTAATACTGTCACCGTGAGACCGTCTAAAACCCAAAACACGCTGCAAACTAAAATAATATATATAATTATAGCCTACATATTATTGACTACGGGTAAAACAAAAAAAAATCATCCGTAGCTATTTCAGTTAAAATTGAGTCGGGAGAAATGAGGATCTTGCATAGCCCCCCCCCCACCCCCGTTGAAAAAAACTCGTCGCATCCCATGGGCTTGAGAATCAAATGTGGGAGCTGTCTCCCAAATGAATATCCACCCCCAGCCCCCCTTTGCAAATGTTGGCAGTGTTTTATAGACAGATCGTGGTCATCGGTCAGCATTTTAGGTGTCTGTAGACACTTAAAATTGGATGAGATATTTCCGTTGACTATCAAGCTCGTGGCCTCGCATGATCATCATCATCATCATCGCGTTTCGTTTGCCGTCCTCACCCCGCACCTCCGATTAGCACGGGTTGGCTGCGTACGGCTGCAGAAAGAAGTTCGACATACACACGTGCACACAATCTCCATTCACTCGCTCACTCCCTATCGTCACCAAGTCTCCAAACGTGCACAATTGCGCAACTCTTTTGGTTTTCGCTCATCGTCTGTTGCTTTACGTCTCGCAGATGGCAGTGAGGCGGTGATCGCCGGAGCTGTTGGTTGGCTCTCGCGTGTTGACAATTGCGCGTGCCCGCTAAGAATCTCAGGTCACGGCCCTCTCAACCACACGCTTGGTTGAGGGTTAATGACATAAAACCACCACGTGGCCTAGGCGAAGAACAACTACCACGTGGTCGAGGCCAAGAACAACTACCACGTGGCCATGCCCAAAAACAAATACGGATCATCGTATTGGCTACAAAAACATACGTTTCAATTGAACACACTGCCATTTTACCGATATTTTACAGATTGTACAAGTTTGGTACTCGAGTTATAAGTGTTGTGAAAGAATAATAATAAAAAGGCATATTGCAATAACTCGATAGCAGTAGGACAATACAATAATAATAACAATCAGCCAATTAGGTATTTGCGTGATCAACATTCCAATTTAGCAGCTATGGAACAGTGTCTCCGACGCACACACACATCATGGGATCTTTCACGTGAGCCGCGAAGCAAGACCGTGCGTTTTCTTTTGGGGATAGAGGAGAGGTGGGGGGGTAAATACACTCGCAGTATTAACCAGGGCGGCCGCTGGGCCTCAAACCGCCGTTTACCTGCATGGTTGCGGCGGCTTGCGGCTGAGCCTCGGCGAACTCGGCGGCTTGCCGGTTCACGGTGTTGGCGTGGTGGCAGAGCACCGTGCCGGTCTCGAGCTCCTCCAGGAAGTTGTCCACCGTGATGTCGAGGCTGTGCAGGGCGCTCAGCCACTCGGCCAGGTCCTCCTTCATGGCGTACAAGTACTCCTCGCTCGAGCGGAACGGACGGATGCTTTTGGTCGCCGCTGACGAGATGTCCACCTCGGCCATGGTGTTCACCTTGGGTGACTTCGTGGGGCCCTTTTTTGAATTGTTGTTTTGTTAAAATCTATGCACGATTTTATGCCGCGTGTTTCCCCAATTCGACCGGGGAATATTTTTCAAAGTCGTACAATGTTGTTGTTGTTGACGTCGATGAAAGTGTGCGAGCTGTGTTGTGTGCCTTCCTTAATAGGTGCTCGCTAACAACACTTGCCTCAACAGCCTATATGTAGGCTATATGGGGTATAGTTGTTGTGCGATGGCAAGAGACAACCCGTCTGTACGTATCTATACTTTTGAGTTGACTGTTCAATGATGACCGTCTTTTGTTTTTGCAAATAAACCAATCACCACAACTCGTTGGTCATTTCACGTCCAAGCAGCAACAATGGCGTGCCGGATTTCTGTTAACATATTCTGTAACAAGTACAAAAATACAAAGCATTTCAACACTAACTCGCGGTTAGAAACGCCACGAACAATGGCATTCATTATTCATCGCTGCACGTGAGCATGCACGCATGCCTAATTCATTCATTGCGTACGGTCCCACACGTGGCAGTGACACTTGTGGAGTAAAAACATCAACAACAGGAGCCCATAAACACCGATATGGCGTCGAAAAGCAACCCAGTACCAAGACTGCAGGTGGCGTTGAGAGTTTGCGATCGTTCGCCAGCTGCCCCTGCCGCTGCCCTTTTCAGTTCATCGCACTGTGCTCGTCGTCAGTTCGGCGATCGCAGGAGACCTGCAAGAGCGCCAGAGACATTTACCACGTTGAGCACCCTGGACAACATCGCAGCCACCCTTCCTGGGCTGACACGAAGCTGGACTTAGCGCGGGAGGGGAGGGGTATGGAGCTAGCCACGCTGAAATAAAGCCACGACGGAGCGCTTGGAGGGCAGCAGATGCGACCACGCGATCCTCTCGCGTGGTGGCGGTGGCGGGGAGCGCTTGCGCTCGCTACGTATATCCCGGCGAACCCGAGTTCGATTCTCGCTCACATTCCAACTCCCCAAAACGCTACAACCATGGTGGGAAAACTCCCCCACCCCCCCTGTCTATGCGTGGCGTTCGGAGACCTGGCCAAATCGGTGGCGTTCAGGGCGATGTCTGTTCGGAGGAAATAACTGAGATGAGACGTCGCCAACGTCGTTGAATGATCCTCTTGTCTGGCTGTCGCAGTCACGGGGTAAGCGCGCAGCCCTGAGGCTGTGAGCTGTTGGCTACGGGGCTCCTGAATCGGACAACCGAGCGTTGCATCGGGCGTGGTAGTTCATAGCCAGATAAGCGGTAGAATACATTGCTATTGTCCTCTCGTCATCGCCGCCGTCGTCATCATCGTCCCACCAGCAAATAACTCTCGTCGGATCCAGGGAGCTCACGAAGCAGGGCAAACCACCTAGAGCTGACCAGGTGTTGCAGGCGTGGAATTCCGAGTCGCTACCAGGAGATAGCAGCGGTGAGTGTCATCCCTCCCGTGTTCTCTGGTTCTTTTGCCACACGAAGCAAAACACTCATTGCCAATGACATTCGGCAAAGCATCCCAACGTGTCGGGAATCTCTTGGAATCGAATCGTGAGACTCACGGATGTTCCTCTGGGGCAAATAAAAATTGGCACCGTGACGATACATAATTAAATTTCGATTTAAAGCTTTCTCTCGCTCCAGCGCTCTCCTCCAAACAGCCTCGTCCCTTCACCTGATGAAGGCGGCTTGTGTTGTGGCCGAAACGTCGTGAGAATTTTATTGTGTTATTTTATTTTATCAATTTATTATTTTATTCTCATTCTACGTGACTTTACCGAAAGAACCAAAGAAGATACATCATTAGCAGCTTGACTGCCAATCACCATATCATAATCAACGGCCTACTATCCCGTAGTTTTATATGTGTAGTGTAATGCCAAGTGCTTATACATCCTCAACGTGTGCCTCACCTTATGCGTAACACAATAGAAGTATACATGTAAAACGATCAAGGCTGCTGTCGTTTTCGCTACCAACAGCGGAAGCAGTGAACGGGAGGGTGTGTGTGTGTGTCACAGTCACATGCTTTAAGCAGCGTCGGCCATGCACCGGCGATACAGATTTGAGAGAAAGAGAATCCATCAAGCTTGGAAGATATTTATGGTTTGGAGTCGGTCATCACAATTAACAACGAATCACAATTATGGGACTGTTGTGACAGTGTCACACAGAGCACGGCGTTTAAATGTATTCCTCACATTCGTAATGCCTGATAAATTTAGAGAATAGACTGACGTTTCGGGCAATGGCCTCCTACCGAGAGGACAGAAATGAGAAGAGCCGAAAAGCTACAAAGACAAAGATCCCCCGTGTAGCCTTCAACAGACTGTCGGGGCAAAGTGCTGTTAGCGAGCGCCTATTAAGATTGGCACGCGTGGCGGTGGTCTGGCCAACGCCACGCCCGGTCGCCTTTGTGGTGTTAATGTTTGCACACCGCACCAGGTACTGAGTCGACCAGGGGGGAGCAGGAGGAGGAGGGGGGGGCGACCAGGACCGGTTCGTATATTCGCCACTGTTTTTGGTCGTGAGCGCGGGAATCGAACTCGGCTGGCCTGGCGTTCACAAATTAACCACGCGCGCATTCACTCGCCAGCTCGCCCACCGCGAGCTGAGCGTATTCACCGGATTATAAGACGCACCGGAAAAGTAAGACGCACGCCAAAAGGTTGTGCCCGGCGTTAAATACAAAATAATATTTAAGGCTAAACTCATCTTGTCTCACACACGGACGCACAGATAACCGGATTATAAGACCCCCCCACCCCCAACCCCCAATTTAATGTTTAAAAACAGAGGGAAAACAAGCGCGTCTTATAATCGGGAGAATACGGTAACGAGAGCTGACCACAGGCGGAGTCGCTTGTGCCCAGAGGCACGCTCACGTTACATGGTTTGAATAATTGATCGCGCTCGAAGAGAAGTGAAGACGCGAGAGAGAGTGGGTGGAGTGGGGGGGGGGGGTCGAATAGGCGAGAGAATAGAGAAGCGAGATGGGACAGAAGGGTGAGAAATGGGATGGTTAGATCGTATCTCTCTCCGTCTCACTCACCTCAGCTGGCAGTGAGCAGGGGACGCGCGCTCCATTTCCATCAGGCGAGGAGGCCCCCGCGTTCGACGCGTTTCTATCACGGGGCGTCGTATCGTCTCCATCGCAACGAGCCAGCCCCGAGGTGGGGCCCATAACAAACAAAGGCGGCAGAGTGTACGGCTTCTCTTCTCGAACGCACCCTCCCCACCACCAGCCTGAACCCATGCACCCACCCCTGTCCTCACGAAAGTCACTCACTTCTCCCCCCCCCCCCACACACACACTGCAAGCCCCGCCGCTAAAGGCAAGCCACGATGTGAGTCATAGCCGGTTAATTTATTTTGGTTAGAACGTTCAAGTTTAGTTGATGAGTATAATGTTAATCCGAGCAATGCATTTTTTTTTACAATTTCCGATTAATTTATGAATTCTGGATTTGAAGTTTATGTATGAATGTTTGAACTTCTTCTTTCGTAGCCAGGCGTGCGAATCGTAGGTGCGGGAGAAAGACAACAAGCTATACACAACAAGCAGTTCTAAAGAAATTAGTTTTCAATCAAGATTATTTAAAAGTGCATAGCTCCAGTGGCTTCTTAATATAGGAAGGAAGAGCGTTCCAGACGGCTGAAGAAGCGCATCTGAAAGTGCGCGATGTAGTGATCGTCTTTGGTCGATGGTTCGCCAAAATTCGCTGCGAGGATAACTGGAGCTCGCGTCGTGGTTAATGCTAACAAAACCGTACACAATTATAAATATTTTACTCGATTTTCAAAATGCCCGTTTTGCTGAAAAGCCAAAATCATTAGGCACATTCGCCCACGTGGCAACTCGATTTGTATGGCTTTTACAGGGTGATAAAAAAAATCTTAACAAAATATTCAGAATAGTATTGTACATTCGTCATTAATGGTAAATCACCCAGAGGATCGAGCCTGGTTAGTACCGATACGCAAAACTGAGAACACCAGGTGTTGCTAGCTTGGGCTGCGAGTACAGCAACGGGTTCTTGAATATATCCGTTCAGATCTTTACGCTTTGCCTGTTATCCCCTCACATGCATGATGGGGGTTGTCCCACATGGAGCCAAACACTCATTAATGGCATTGGCCAACATCTCAATGTGTAAGGACTCTCCTAATAAAGTGTCTTGCGACTTTGCTATTATTTCCTGGATAAATAAGCAATACTTATTTTATTATTATTATCATTATCATCATCATCATCATCAAAACACGGAATATTCTATATCTCACCGATGCATTGTCTGGTTGCGTGGCGTGTTCTTCGGCACAACGTCTGACGTTTCGCTCCACGTTCTGGGCGTCAAATTCAGGCACTGAAATGTCAGCGCAAATTCGCAAACGAACCCAAGAGAGCTGTCCAGCACAGCCACGGAAAAACCTTGCAATGTGTATAGAACATCGTCCTTCCATCAAAAAATCACTCCAAATACACAAGCTCCGATTCGAGGTGACATCGAGGCGAGCCCGTCACACGTGCATGCTTGCGATTGGCACCTCTGCATTGAGCATCGGCTGCACTGAGCGCGTCGCTTAAGACATCCATGCAAAAAAAAATCACCACACACACACACCTTGAAACTGAATGGGAACTTTTTTTGCCCGGTATCAAAGTATGAAAAAAATACAAATAGGTATAAGCCTTTCTGGCAATCAAGCAGGAGGTGTTACGCTGTTCAAACACCAAATATAAAACCTTTTGCAAAGAATCAAGTGCTGCATTAATCACACACGGTACTTGTGGTGAACATGCAAACAAAACACACAAAAAAACTATTCTTATCTTGTCATACTTTGATACTGGCAAAAAGATCAGATGTAGCTGCTCACCCCGAGCCCGAATTGCTCTGATAGTGCATTGTCCTTGTACCGTTCGCCTTTTGGCGTTGTTCTCTGCTCTGACACTGGTGGTGAGACGAGGACCTAAATAAAGCTATCTCTCTGGTGTAGGCCAATCAGTTTCAAAGACAATGCAAATATTATCAGAGCCATGTCTGTTTGCATGATCATTGCAAGTGCCGTGCGTGGTTAATGCAGTACTTGATTCCTTGCAAAATGTTTCTATTCGGTCTTTGAACATCTCAACACAACTGTTTTATTGCCAGAAAGGCTAAAACCTATTCTTATTTTTTTAACACGCCTTGAAACTGGGCGTGGGTTCACAGACAGGCCACCTCTAGCGCGACACGAGCGTGCATTATTTCGCAGGCGAGGTTTTTTGTTCTTGTATTTATTCTCAATGTAAGTAATTGGCGCCTCGACTATTATTTCCATCTCGTCGAAGACGTGTCAGCGACGAAGGGGGCCCTGCTTTCCCTCCCCCCTCCCCTCTCACGGCAACCGCTCCGCTTAATTAAAACGTCCGCCTTAATCCGTCAAAAGGGAGCTAGCAGCCCGCGCGAGTTCACACATTTCCCGCCCCCCCCCCCCTCTTTTACTTTTGCACGCAAAGTCAAGAGGCGTGCCGCTCGCGTATTAATTACCGCGTGCGGTTCGTTTGGCCTTTTGAGTTCAATTGTGGGGGGCGGTGATGCAGCGGTTTGCGCACTGCGCTGGGAGCCCAACAAACCTGACGTTTGATTCCCCAGCCATGGACAACGTGAGCGGTGAGCGATGCGTGAATTTGCCGTGGCATCTGTCTCCCACCCCCCCAGCCCCCCCCCCCCTTTTTCATTGACCTGCACTGACCGCGATGATCACCACCATAATTACAATTTCGACTCTCACAGAGCTCAGGTGATTCGGAGGCGCGAGGAGCCACGGACGAGCGGGCAAGGAGGCAGCGAGCCAGTTGTAGAGCCGGGGCCTACGGCCGGCCAAACTCTACGGTTGCCTACACATGAGTGTTTACGCTTGGGAGGAAAGACGGACACCCGGAGATGTAACCCACGCGTGCGAGGACGGCAACGCCGCTCCACATAGACGGAACAAGTGGGGTCCGCTTTTGCTGCACTGCATTCTAAATTATCAACAGGTAAGGGCCATTCAGCTGCATGAACCTGACGGCGGTACCCCGTGGCAGCATAGCACCCTGGCTCTCGCATAATGTCCGTCATGCAGTCATTATTAGTCTGTTGATGGTCGGCGATGCGGAAATGGACTCATCTCGACGAGCTGTACACGATGCACCACCACGGTGCGTACGAGCGTTCAGGGTTTCGGCGCAATCGTCCTCGCTGCGTTTCGACATCGCGGAGTCGCACCGATGTCGGATTTAAGTAACACTCCTGGACAAAAATAGTGTCCCAGAAATAAAATATTTAATTGCCTCGGCCAGTTTGTAATATTTGGTACCCCGGGGTACCGCCATAAGGATAATGTATCTATATTCTTGGTTCTTTCGGTAAAGTCACGTAGAAGGGAAACAATAAAATAATAAAAATATAAAGCAATAAAATTCTCACGATGTTTCGACTGCAACACAAGCAATCATCATCAGGTGTGAAAACCACAGCAAGAAAATTTGAAAAAAGTGGTGTTTTTTATTTTTCAGACGCGACTTAGCCACAAATGATAGCTTACCCAGGCTAGCCCCACATAGCTATATATCTATTTTTCAGACGCGACCTGCCCACAAATGATAGCTTACCCAGGCAAGCCCCACAGAGCTATATAGCTATTTTTCAGACGCGACCTGGCCACAAATAATAGCTCAACGACGTGGCTTATCGTGTGGAAATTTATAGCAGGCATATACTCTAAACGCACGTTTCTAAATGTGGAGAAAAAATAATCCACGCGACCACGGGGAGAACATGCAAACTCCAAATATACAACATGCACTGGCAGGGTCGGAATCGAACGCCGCGACCTCCTGTACACCAGGCGGGGTAGTTAACATCTCGCCGCCGTGGCTCCTGGCAAGTTAAGCTATTGGCACCTTGATACCCAAGAGAAGCGAGTTTCACAGCATGCTGTGATCCACCAGCCCTCCCACTGCCTGGCTACTTCACCTCCAATGTGGTGAAGTATGGTAAAGCAATGCTCACAACTGACACTTGCTTCAGGAGGCAATCGTCCAGCGGTGGAATGGCAAAGGGCTGTAAATAACACAGCTCAATTGTCATGCACGGGGTTGGATGTATGTTCATTTATATAGTTTTAAGATGACAACGTTAATAATCATGAAGACCTATCCAGGCTGTATCTGTCATCGGGGTTGTTTGGCCATACTTCACCGCGCTGGCCAGTGCACGTTGGTGAACGGGATCCCGTGACCAGTTTCAGATATCAACTTGCCAGTGATGGCCCTGCACCTTCAACTGAGGCTACTGGGTTCATAGCGCGGTGTATTCGCCAATACATCACTGCTGCCCACGTGTTTTGTTTTAATCAACACAACACCACGAAACAAGTCTGGTCAGGGAGCGAGCGCTACCACACGTTTATTTTGGTTAATGTATAACATCTTCATCCAGACATTGCATTAGCCCGTCACTTGTTTACAAGTTGACCAGGGAACTGTGCACAACCATGTTCAGCTTGTAATGGGGTTTTTATTGTTGTTGTTGTTGTAGTAGAACATTACATTCGAATCCCAGCCAGGAAGAGTTCTAACTGAAACGTTACGTCCAGTAGAGGAACATCTGATTTTACACGTGAATGATATTATAATGTAGAACTGCTTTTTTGTGTTTCAGTCTGTTGCCCTTCCCCCGCACCTCCGATTAGCACGGTTGGCTATGTGCGGTGCGAAAGAAGTTCAACGTACAAACGTATTGAGAGCAGACGTTGTTTTTTTTCTTTCAGGTGCAGCGTTGTCCATTGCCCAGGGTTACGTAGGATCGTAACAGTCACATTGGGTCAAATGTTCACCCTCTACCCCAAAACGGCTCTGTACACGATTGGGGAAACTCAATTACCATTCGGTCAGACGATCCTGAAATGCATTCAAATATGTCCAGACGATGGCGATTCACTGAGTCGCGGCGAGATGAGTAAAATCATCTGACATCACCAACCCACAAAATCCCACCCTGCGACACGATTCAAGACGCTCTGTAAACGCCAGTATTTCCCGAAGACCAGTTGGCTGAAATGTGAAAATCTTACTTCCCTCTGTTAAAAAAAACAAGAAAAAACAAACCCCACAAATTTTTATCATCTTTAATTCCCCCTATAATTTTGCAAATTAATAACAACACATTACGCGATAACGTCACTGAGTAAGAAATTGA